GCTCCTAATCTCAGCCTGTTACCTGTACAAAGGACACCTGTCCACAGAAGCAATCAATCAGATTCCTCTACCATGCCAAGATCAAAGGGCTGGCCAAGGATGTCAGGGACAAGATTGTAGACATACACAAGGCTGGAATGGGCTACAAGACTATCGCCAAGCAGCTTGGTGAGAAGGTGACAACAGTTGGTGCGATTATTTGCAAATTAAGAAACAAAAAATAACTCTCAATCTCCCTCAAGCTGGATTCCATGCAAGATCTCACTTCGTAGAGTTTCAATGATCATGAGAACAGTGAGGAATCAGCCCAGAACTACACAGGAGGATCTTGTCAATGATCTTGTCAATGATCTCAAGGAAAACAGTTGGTAACACATTACACTGTGAAGGACTGAAATCCCGCAGTGCCCGTAAGATCCCCCTGCTCAAGAAAGCACATGTACAGGCCCATCTGAAATTTGCCAGTGAACATCTGAATGATTCAGAGGAGAACTGGGTGAAAGTGTTGTGGTCAGATGAGACCAAAATTGAGCTTTTTGGCATCAACTCAACTCGCCGTGTTTGGAGGAGGAGGAATGCTACCTATGACCCCAAGTACACCATCTCCACTGTCAAACATGGAGGTGGAAACATTATGCTTTGGGGGTGTTTTTCTGCTAAGGGGACAGGACAACTTCACCGCATCAAAGGGACAATGGACGGGGTCATGTACCATCAAATCTTGGGTGAGAACCTTCCCTCATCCAGGGCATTGAAAATGGGTCATGGATGGGTATTCCAGCATGACAATGATCCAAAACACATGGCCAAGGCAACAAAGGAGTGGCTCAAGAAGAAGCACATGAAGGTCCTGGAGTGGCCTAACCAGTCTACAGACCTTAATCCCATAGAAAATCTGTGGAGGGAGCTGAAGGTTCGAGCTGCCAAATGTCAGCCTTGAAACCTTAATGACTTGGAGAGGATCTGCACTCCTGAGAGATGTGACATGTGTGCAAAACTGGTGGCCAACTGCAAGAAACGTCTGACCTCTGTGACTGCCAACAAGGTTTTTGCCATCAAGTACTAAGTTATGTTTTGCAAAGAGGTCAAATACTTATTTCACTCATTAAAATGCAAATCAATTTATAACTTTTTTGGAAATGTGTTTTTCTGGATTTTGTTGTGGTTGTTGTTGTTATTCTGTCTCTCACTGTTAAAATAAACCTACCTTTAAAATTATAGACTGATCATTTCTTTGTCAGTGGCCAAATGTACAAAATCAGCAGAGGATCAAATAATTTTTCCCTCACTGTACATATCTACAGTAATGCACATGATCAAAGATAAAACCCTTCCAGAATGTATATGGGTCAATATAAAAGGAAAAAAAAGTAACATTGCCATAGGTGTACATTACAGGCCACCCAACCAATCAGAAGAAATAGATCAACTCTTTGCCAACCAGTTAACAAATGTATGTAGAAAGATACCACAGTACTATTGGGAGATTTCAATTACCCAGATATCAACTGGGAGACAAACTCTGCAGCGAGTGGGATGTCAAACAGATTCCTAACCAACATAGCCGACAGCTTTGTCATCAAAAAGGTAGAGAAGGAAGTAGACGTAAAACTATACTGGATCTAATTCTTACTAATAGAGAAGAAGTGATAGAAGGAGTTGAAGTTGCTGGAACCTTGGGTGAAAGTGACCACATCATATTAGAATTCAATAAAACGTAAACAAGCAATAGAAAATAATCCAACCAGTTTCTTAAACTTTAAAAGAGCTGATTTTAACAAACTCAGAGAGAACCTAGGAAAGATTCCATGGATGAAAATCCTAAAGGAGAAAACAACTCAAGAAGCATGGGAAGCTCTGAAAAACATGATCATAAAAGCCCAGACCAGCATAATACCACTGAAAAAGAAATTCAAGAAGGAACAAGCATGGTTGCACAGAGATCTCTTTGACAAACTGCAAGACAGAAAGGACAAGTACAAAAAATAGAAAGAGGGACACCTAACTAAGGCTGATTATCAGCAGACAGCCAGAACAGGGAAAGATGAAATCAGGAAAGTAAAGGCTCAGAATGAACAAAGTCTTGCAACAGAAGTAAAGGACAATTAAAAAAAGTTTCTTTCAACACATTAAGAACAAGAAAAAAGTCAAGGAAACAGTAGGTCCACTAAAGAGAAAAGATGGCAAGGAAGTAACAAGGAGTAGGGAGAAAGCAGATCTGCTTAAATCATTCTTTGCATCAATCTTCACACAAAAAGAAATTATAGCCCAACATACCCAAAAACTACTGTAAAAGACAAACTAGAAATAAAAATTAAAATAAGCAAGAAAATGGTAAGAGAATACCTCTCTGACCTTGACTAATATAAATCACGGAGGCCTGACAGATTACACCCCAGAGTTCTGAAGGAGCTGGCAGATGTTATCTCAGAACCATTGTACCACATCTTTCAAAAATCCTGGAACACCAGGGAAGTACCTGAGGATTGGAAAAGAGCTGATATGGTTCCCATCTTCAAGAAAGGGAAAAAAATCACTGAGGAAACTATAGACCAATCAGTCTGACATCAATACCTGGAAAGATCCTGGAAAAGATAACTAGAAGCCAAGTTATAGCTAGTGGCCAGCATGTGTTTGTTAAAAACAGATCATCCAAATCAATCTTATTTCATTCTTTGATGAAGTGACTAAACTAGTAGACCAGTAAAATGCTGTGAACATAGTATACTTAGATTTCAGTAAGGCATTTGACAAAGTAGACCACAACCTACTTCTTGGTGAACTAGAAAAATGTGGAATAGACAACATCACCACGAGATGGATTTATAGCTGGCTGACAAACTGTACTCAACGAGTAGTCCTCCACTGTACTACATCCACACGGAGAGAAGCAGTGGGATACCACAAAGCTCCATCTTAAGCCCCGTACTCTTCCATATCTTCATAAATGACTTAGCTGAGGGAATAGAAAGGGAACTCATCAAATTTGCAAATGACACTAAACTGGCAGGAATAGCCAACACCCCATAATATAAGCTCAAGATCCAAAACGACAAACTGGAACAATATGCCCTATCCAACCAAATTAATTTTAATGTGGAGACAAGCAAAGTTTTACATTTAGGCAGGAAAAATCAAAGGTATAAGTACAGATTAGACAAGACCTGGCTCAAAAACAGTAACTGTGAGAGGGACCTTGTAGTTCTTGTGGACGATCACTTGACTATGAGCCAGTAGTTTGCAGCAGCAGCCAAAAAAGCTAATACAATCCTGGATTGTATAAACAGAGACATAGAATCAAGATCACGTGAAGTATTATTACCACTTTAAAAAACCCTAGTAAGACCACACCTGGAATACTGCAGCCAATTTTGGTCACCTTATTACAAAAAAGATGTTGAGACTTTGGAAAAAGTTCAAAGAAGAGCAACTAAGATGATCAAAGGTCTGGAGACTAAAACATATGAAGAACGGCTGCAGGACTTGGTTTTGGCTAGTCTAAAGAAAAGAAGAAATAGCGGTGACATGATAGTATTCAGTATTTGAGGGGCTGCCACAAAGAAGAGGGGGTCAAATTATTCTCCAAAGCACCAGAGGACAGGGCAAGAAACAATTGTTGGAAACTAACCAAAGAGAGAAACAACCTGGAATTAAGGAGAAACTTCCTAACAGTGAGGACAATTAACCAGTGGAACAGTTTGCTTTCAGAAATTGTGGGCGCTCCATCACTGGAGGTTTTTAAGAAGAGGCTAGACAGTCACTTATCTGAAATGTTATAGGTTCTTCTGCTTGAGCAGGGGGCTGGACTAGAGAAGACCTCCAAGGTCCCTTCCAGATCTATTCTGTTCTGTTCTTTTCTGTTCTGTTCTATACCAGAAGCACTCCACAGCCCTAATACAATTGCAATATTGCTCTAATGTTTTGTATCTAATAGGCATATTATAGTGGAAAATGTATAATAGCAATTATCTATGGTTACATATTATTTACAACATATTTTCCTGTAGTACTTCTGGCCTCCACTCTTGTCTGCACGCATCTGTTTCTAGTAGCTTTCAATTTCTTGCACTTTCCAATTTTCCAATTTAAAGTTTGTTGTTTTTAAAGAGAAAGCTGCTATACTGCAGAATAAAGCTTTATCTCTAGAATTCCTTGGAACTCACACCCAAGAAATAAGACTGCTGGGTACAGCTCATTCATTTTGATATACATCTAGAAAAAAGTTAGGTGTTTGAAGGGTGTAGATGAGATAGTGGATTACACTGTATCATTTCTTTTTGATGCAAGTATATACTGTAGGTGTTATATAGATGCATATGTTTTGGAGCTCAGTTCACATTTCTGTCCTATTAAGTAAATGATTTTTTGCTTTTAACTACTTTGGCTTCTGAGAAAGGTGTTTTATAACTGGGTATGCTAACTTTGGTAACTGTTTTATAAAAGAGAGACACAACTCCTATGTCAATAATTTTGTGAGAACATCCACAAAATCTTCTTAGAATCCAAATAACCGTACCACCACTAAAAGATTAGCGGGTATATATGTTAAATCCATTGTAATTAATGAGACTTACTTTTCAATAGACACGTTTAAGATATTTTGATGATCATCCTTTGCCATATTATTTATATATGTTATTTCCATCTAAAGGCAGGAAAATCAAATTCTTAAACATACCATATATTGATTCAATTTATTTGTATAGGAATATGCTTTGTGGCACATTATGGATAAACAAATGGAAACTATATTAACAGTTCAGAACAAGGTGGACTATATGCAACTTCAAAGAGAAGTTCAAAAGTTCACTGGATTTCACTGCATTGAACTCTACCTAAAAGATATAGTGGACTTAACACCCATAATTTCAATCAAGCATAGACCTATCATTAGCCATACTGAATAGGGATTATGGGAATTGAAAGGCCACACATCTAGAATCCATTAAATTGGAGAAAGTTACTCTGCAGTCTTCAAAACTTGTTTTCTTTTTCTTTAGCTTTCAGAATGATCCCTTATCCTTTGGAAAAAGGGCACCTTTTTTATCCTTATCCCATTTGTACCGAAACAGCAGATAGAGAACTTCTTCCATGTAAGTTTGAATCTTTTCTGGTTTTATCTTTAAGTAAGGAAGATTAAACAATTTGTCTATCAGTTGGCTCATCAGCAAGGAAAGTTTCTGCTGTATAACTTTATCCAGTTGTCTCAAAGATGCTTTTTAAAGAGGCAACTAGACTTTCTTGTTTTTCTTTGAAGATGTTTTGCTTCTCGTCCAAGCACCTTCTTGGATGAGAAGTAAAACATCTTCAAAATAAAACAAGAAAGTCTAGTTGCCTCTCGAAAAAGCACCTTTGAGACAACCATGACCTGGAGGACTGAAAATCGCCATAGACAAGTTTATCCAATTATTCGCAGAATGGAATATAAGGCTTATCCATATTTGGTTTTGCACAGAGGTCTGTCACTGCATGAGATGTAGCAACCAGGTTTGAGTTGAATTACAAGCCCATTATTACATTTTTGTCAGTACACTACTCCCAGATTGAAAGTTGTAAAATAAACTCACTAGATTTAACAGTTAATTCCTTTGCTAACCTGGAATTAAAATCTGACATAACTGTTTTTACTGGGATTGGGAAAGAAAAATGTTGGTTCCTGAAGCTAATTCAGTTTGTGCTATACCTAAGACTTTGACGATCCCCAATTACTTTTTTCATTAAAAAGCTGTGATTATGCGTATTGTGAAGGAGGCAACTGTCAGAATCCAATCATATTTCATCTTTAATTATCAACTATAGAAACTCCCAATTCTGCCTTCTTTGGATTCTGCCATAAGAGGGAGAGAAGGGGGAGAACAAAGGGGCTTTATGGCCCTCACTTCCTTCAGTACACTTCAAAGAGCTGAATGCTGAATGTGTGTTTATTGTAACATCAAAGCGTTAGCACTAGAGAACCTTATCATAACAAAGCAGGATACTTGCCTTTCATGTAGTTACCTGAAGTCTCCATTCAGACGGAAGAAAGAAGAAAGGGGGTGGAATTGTGATACTTGAAACTATCACTGGAAGGGGGGTTGATTGGGTGGGACTACTGGGGAACCCCTTAAAACCTTGAATGGAGAGCTTGAACCCCAAGTCCTGTCTAGCATGCCTGCAACCATTTTCTCTTAATAAAGGATTCCTGTTGGAAGAATTATTCCAAGAGTTCTGTCTTCTTAAGATGCAAAGTGGGGTGGGTCCTTACATTAGACAGGACTTGCAAAATTAATCCACCTGGAAGGAAGACCCTTGCCGGGGGATTTTGCAAAAATTTACCATGTCAGACAATGGAGCAAGAGAGGGGGAAAACTCCCTGGAAAGAGAGCCACTGACCCAGTTGGAACCTTGCCAGATGTTGGGATCCGAGAGGCCAGATTCCTCAGGAGAAGAAGTGGTGGAGACACAGGACCACAAGCCTCGCTGGTCGATGGGCGTTGGAAAGAAAAGTGAGTGGGGAAAGGAATCAAGAAAGGTGACCCTGAGACGGGGGACCAAGCAACCAGAATGGAAGCAGGAGATGGAGAAATCCCTGTACGCAAGTGAAGAGGGAGGAAGCTGGGCACCATACTCAGACTGGATCCTAGAGAAAGCTATTGACCTGATGAAGAGAACTCTCAGCTCCCTAGGAGAGGAGAATACTGAACCCTACGGCCGCCCCAGTTCCTGGAGCCGCAAAGGGAGAGACACCGAGGGGGACATGGAACCTGCAACCCCAGGGACATCTACTGATCCAGGAGCTCCCACCCCCTACCGGACCACAGATGGCAATCTGGACGGAAGGCACTACCACCCACAACAGAGGCACCGATCCATTCCAAGACGTCCACCGTTGGAAGTGAAATTCAAAGGGGAGCCAACACGCTTGGGGTTTTTCCTAACCCAAGTCCTCAGCTACATGGAGGAATATGGGCAGGATATTCCCAGCGACAAAGCCCGCATCCGGATCGTGCAATCTGCCCTGGATGGACCAGCTGCGGATTGGGTAGTGAACTTGCATGACTCCAATGCCCCAGAACTCAGTAACTTCAACCGTTTCATGTCCTCTTTGAGAAGACGATTTGAAGACCCCCTGGCTGATCGCAAAGCCCGTGAAAGAATAACAACGATGAGGCAGGGCAAACGCCCAGTGGCTGAGTATACACAAGAATTCCGGGCCATTGCCAGCAAACTGAATTGGCCAGAAGACATCCTCCTTGGCCATTTCAAAGACGGACTAAACTATGATCTATATGATGCTTGCCTGCCCCGAGGGGACCCACATCGACTTGAGGAATGGTACGTCTTGGCAGAGGAAGCAGAGATCGACATATTGAAGAGGCACCGCCGAGGAAAACAATGGAGCCGCCCCCCGCCTGAGCTGACACACCAACCGGTGAAATCATCGGATACAGCCAAGAAGCAAATGGGATGTTTCAAGTGCGGAAGAGAAGGGCATCGAGCTGTAGAATGCCGCTCAAAGGCCCCCCAGCACAACCCAGACAGATCCCCAATCAACAAACCCGGAAAGTATTCAGCTAAGCCAAAAGAAACGGCCATGAGAATGATGGAAATTGCAGAAACCCCCACCTCTGCTCACCAAGGGGAAAGGACTCCAGCCTACACCACAGGGCCGGTGGATGCCTCAGATGACAGCTCGGAGGGCGAACCCCTGGTAAGTGGATGCATCACACCCATCTTCAAAACAGTGACTATATTAATCCCCCCCATGCCCGAAGCTGTGAAGGTGAAAGCCTTAATAGACTCTGGCTGTACCCGCTGCCTCATTAGCCCAACACTAGTGGGGAATCTGGGCATCCCATCCAGGAGACTGGAACAACCAATCTCATTTGGCCAGCTAGATGGATCCATAGCAGGGGGGGTGCCAGCTACCCTAGCCACTTTGCCAATACATCTCTCCCTGGGCAACCATGAAGAGGACTTAACGTTTGTGGTGACCCCAGGTATGGAATGCCCAATGATTCTAGGGATGGAATGGTTGAAAAAATGGAACCCCTGGGTAAATTGGAGGACGACAGAAATCAAATTCCCGAAGGGGGACCCTATGGACTTAAAACCCCAAGGGAGGCTACCAGAATCAAGAATAGAAAAAGCATCCATAGGAGAGGAAAAAAGATTAACAGAAATACCAGAGGAATATAGGGACCTTGCTGAAGTCTTCAGTGAGGAGAGGGCGAATGAGCTTCCCCCCCACCGACCCACAGACTGTACCATTGAATTCAAGCCTGGGGCAAAACTCCCGAAGCCCAGATTATACTCCATGAGCCCAAAGGAGAAGGAGGAAATGGAAAGATTTATAAAAAAAAACCTGGAGAGAGGTTTCATTGAGCCAGCCAAGCCTAAAGTGGCTGCCCCGGTCCTTTTTAGAGAGAAGAAGGATGGCTCTTTACGTTTATGCGTGGATTATAGGGCCCTGAATACAATCAGTGAAAGCAACCTATACCCGCTGCCCCTCATGAAAGACATGCTGTCACACCTATCGAAAGGGAAAATTTTTTCTAAACTAGACTTAAGGGAAGCTTACTATCGAGTGAGAATCAAGGAAGGGGACGAATGGAAGACTGCATTTAACTGCCCCATGGGTGCTATCAATTCAAAGTCTTGCCATTTGGATTACAAGGGGGCCCTGCAGTCTTTATGCAATTAATCAATGACGTTCTAAGGGAGCACCTGTTTAAGGGGGTCCTTGTTTACTTGGACGACATTCTTATCTTTACCGAAACAAAAGAAGAACACGTCAAACTTGTCAGAGCGGTTTTAAAGAAGCTGCGAGCCGCTCACCTATATGCCAAACTCTCAAAATGCGAATTCCACCAGGAAAGGATAGACTACCTAGGCTATCGCATATCCCCACAGGGCATTGAAATGGACCCAGAGAAGGTCAGAGCAGTATTAGAATGGGCACCACCCCGCACAAGAAAGCAACTACAAAGTTTCCTGGGCTTTGCAAATTTTTACCGCCAATTCATCCCCTCATTTGCACAGATAGCCTTGCCCCTCACTAACTTACTAAAAACGAAGGGAACATCCTCAGTAAAACCTAGCCAGCCACTAACATGGACAATGGAGTGCCAAGCAGCGTTTGAGAGACTAAAGAGACTTTTTTCTGCCGAACCAATACTAAGGCACCCAGACATGGACAAGCCCTTCGTAATACAGGCAGATGCAAGTGATGTGGCAGTGGGGGCTGTGCTATTACAAGAAAATGATGATGCAGTATTGCAGCCCTGTGCATATACATCTAAGAAACTCACGGAAACAGAACAGCGCTGGCCCGTATGGGAGAAGGAGGCTTATGGGATACGTTGGGCATTACTCACGTGGCGACAGTTACTGGAAGGCAACAAAATCCCCTTCCAGGTATGGACTGATCACAAAAATTTAGAAGCCCTGAAAACTCCCAGGAAACTCAATCCCAAACAAGCCCGCTGGTCCCAGCATTTTCACCAATTCCAATTTAAGCTCAAACATTTACCAGGAAGAAAGAACCTCCTGGCAGATGCACTATCTCGCATGCCCCAATATAACAGCGCACGAACCACAGACTCTAGACCAATAATGGCAGAGTCACAACTGGCAGCGCCAGTAACCACAAGAACCCAAGCCAAAATAAAACCACAACTGGACAGCCAAACTGGGATTGAATTCAGAAAAAGTTTGGAAACAGATGATTGGTTCCAGAAAAACAAACATGTGTGCACAATGAGAGACGGATTGCCTTGGGTAGGGGAAAAGTTATATATACCAACAACTCAAAGACTAACTTTCATGCAACTTTGCCATGACACAAAATCAGCAGGGCATTTTGGATTTGTAAAAACTTTACACTTAATTAAACGGCAATTTTGGTGGCCATCAATAAAAAAGGACATAGAAAGTTATGTTGCCAGCTGCCCAACCTGTGCATCAGCAAAGAGGTTGCAAGGGAAATCGCCAGGGCTGTTACAACCAGTGGCAAGTCCCTCAGCCCCCTGGAGGGAAATAGCCATGGATTTTATAGTGGAATTGCCTGAAAGCAATGGGAATACTGTTATCTGGACAGTCACGGACCTATTTTCCAAACAGGTGCACTTTATCCCTTGCCAAAAAATTCCCACTGCAAAGGCCTTAGCAAAACTTTTTATCCAGCACATTTACAGATTGCACGGGGCACCCCAACGCATCATCTCTGATAGGGGAGTGCAATTTACGTCTACATTTTGGAAGGAATTTTTATCCCTCTTAGGGACCACTCAGGGACTGACATCTAGCCATCACCCTCAGACAGATGGACAAGCGGAACGCTGCCAGTCGGTACTTGAGCAATATTTGAGATGTTTTTTAAATTTCCAACAGAGTGATTGGACGGACTTACTTCCTTTTGCAGAAGTTGCCTACAATAATGCAGTCCACTCCAGCACAGGCTACACTCCTTTTCAAATAGCCAACGGCCAAAGTTTCAACCCTATGCCAGAGTTAACCCCAAAAGAACCAACGATCCCTTCACTGAAAGAATGGATGGAAAACCTACAAAACACCTGGCCAATAGTCAGAAAATCACTAGATGAAGCTAGGCGGGCATACAAAGCACAAGCCGATAAAAAAAGGGTTGAGCCTACACCATTCATTATAGGAGAAATGGTGTACTTATCTACAAAATACCTAAAGTCCCTACAGCCCTGTAAAAAACTTGGACCAAAATATATAGGACCTTTTCCAATTAAAAGGATCATAAATCCAGTAACAGTAGAATTAGAATTACCCAAAAACCTCAGGCAAATACACCCAATTTTTCATTGCAGCTTGCTGAAAAGAGAGCATCAGTCACCTCTACGGCCAAAAATCCCCCCCCCACCCCCTCCACTCATGGTGGAGGGGGAACAACACTTCGAAATAAAAGAGATCCTTGACTCTAGGAGATATCGTGGGACAACTCAGTACCTAGTTGCCTGGAAACACCTCCCTGCCTCACAAAATGAGTGGGTCCATAAACGTCACGTCAGAGCCCCGAAGCTATTGAAGAAGTTTCACACAGAGTATCCTAACAAGCCTAACTAAATGTTTTACTTGTGTTTTCTTTCAGGTGGATCTCTCTTATTGTTAAGAGGGGCCGGATGTCAGAATCCAATTATATTTCATCTTTAAATTATCAAATATAGAAACTCCCAATTCTGCCTTCTCTGGATTCTGCCATAAGAGGGAGAGAAGGGGGAGAACAAGGGGGCTTTATGGCCCTCACTTCCTTCAGTACACTTCAAAGAGCTGAATGCTGAATGTGTGTTTATTGTAACCTCGAAGTGTTAGCATACCAAAGGAGAGTAATTGCCTTTCATGTAGTTATCTGAAGTCTCCATCCAGACGGAAGAAGAAAGGGGATGGAATTGTGAGACTTGAAACTATCACTGGAAGGGGGGTTGATTGGGTGGGACTACTGGGGAACCCCTTAAAACCTTGAATGGGAGAGCTTGAACCCCAAGTCCTGTCTAGCATGCCTGCAACCATTTTCTCTTAATAAAGGATTCCTGTTGGAAGAATTATTCCAAGAGTTCTGTCTTCTTAAGATGCAAAGTGGGGTGGGTCCTTACATTAAGTCAATTATGTGAACTCACATAGTACAGTACATTGAACCATACACTAACCAGACAAGATGCATTTGTTCAAATAAACCAAGCAGCCACTGTTTACCGTAGTAGAGAAAGCCAGAAAGTGACATTTAAAAAAAAAATGAATTTACTTATTAGAAACATTTGAAAGAAACAGTATAAGGAAGGAAAAGTGAGAAAGAAAGAAAGAAAAAAAGAAAGAGATGGATGGATGAAAGGAAGGAAGAAAGAAAGAAAGAAAAATAGATAAAAGAAAGAAAGAAAGAAAGAAAGAAAGAAAGAAAGAAAGAAAGAAAGAAAGAAAGTAAGTTTCTCCAACTTGGCAGCTTTTATAAATGTGAATTTCAGCTCCCAGAATTCCCTGTGCTGCTGGTTAAGGAATTCTGGGAGTTGAAGTCCACACATGTTATAATTGCCAAGTTAATGAAACACTGAAATCAATATCAATAAATACACAGGGAGATACAATTATCATGATATATATTTCACTCATTCACTGTAGGGAACTAAGTTCGCTGAATCATTCCTTTTTAAATAAAATCTCTGTAAATGCCTGATGATATAAACCGTATCGCTTTCTTTTTATTTCAGTGCAAGGAATCAGGGAAAAAAAAAAAAACCAAAGACCTCAAGGTTGCAAAGAAGATTTTGGGGTTTTTTTTTTTTTTGATCCGGAGAAGCGAGCTGCACTTGCCAACCTTGTTGTTCTGCGGAATGTTGCGCTTCGACACGCGTCTTTCAGCAACCCGCCCTGGAGTCTTTAAATACTTTTTGCCAACTCGGGCAGTTACAAAACAGCAGGGTGGGGTCCGCGATTTTTTGTTTTCTCCCTCTCGCTTCTTTCGAGATGGGATTACGAAGTCAGCTTGGGAGGGGCGGCCCTCCAGCTTGGCTGAAACACAAGAGATTCACACACACATACAGACAAACGCGCGCGCCCGCGCGCGCACGAAAGAGCACGCCCAGCTGGCCGTCTACTCCACGGGGCAATCTTCTTTAGAGAAAGCTGCAAATGACTTCGGATTCTCCGGACAAGGCAGCCGTTCTCCTCCACCCGTTCTCTGCAGGGAGTGACCGAAAGACAGCCGTCCGGAGAAACCCGAACCGCCCAACGCCTCTTCCAAGTCTCCGGCGCCCGGGTGGTCTCTCTCGCCAGCCCGCTCGATCATGGAGCTCAACAACTCATCTTCGGCCTACAACGGTGAGTGGGGGCTTCGCCGTGGTTCGGAGGTGGTGGAGGTGGGTGCGGTGCCTCCGATGCCTGCGTCTTCGGACAAAACTGATGCAAACTCTAGAGAAGATATTCGGGTCTGCCCAGATCGGGGTGGGGGAAGGAGAGAGGAGAGAACTGGGTGAGCGGTAGCTTCTTATGCCGGCAATATTAAGGAGACTTTGGACATAAGGCGGTGGATGGGAACGAATCCATTTCGATGCTGTATTTTTCTAGATCCCCGATATTTATCTATCTATCTATCTATCTATCTATCTATCTATCTATCTATCTATCTATCTATCTATCTATCTATCTATCTATCTATCTACCTTTCCTTCCTTCCTTCCTTCCTTCCTTCCTTCCTTCCTTCCTTCCTTCCTTCCTTCTCTCTCTCTCTTTCCCTCCCTCCCTCTTCCCGGAAAACAGCTTCTTTCCTTCCTTCCTTCCTTCCTTCCTTCCTTCCTTCCTTCCTTCCTTCCTTCCTTCCTTCCTTCCTTCCTTCCCTCTCTCTCTTTCCCTCCCTCCCTCTTCCCGGAAAACAGCTTCTTCCTTCCTTCCTTCCTTCCTTCTTCCTTCCTTCCTTCTTCCTTCCTTCCTTCCTTCTTTCCTTCCTTCCTTCCTTCCTTCTCTCTCTCTCTTTCCCTCCCTCCCTCTTCCCGGAAAACAGTTCTTTCCTTCCTTCCTTCTTCCTTCCTTCCTTCCTTCCTTCCTTCCTTTCCTTCCTTCCCTCTCTCTCTTTTCCTCCCTCCCTCCCCCCCAGAAAACAGGTTTTTTCTTCCTTCCTTCCTTCCTTCCTTCCTTCCTTCCTTCCTTCCTTCCTTCTCTCTCTCTTTCCCTCCCCCCCGGAAAACAGGTTCTTTCTTTCTTTCTTTCTTTCTTTCTTTCTTTCTTTCTTTCTTTCTTTCTTTCTTTCTCTCCCTCTCTCTCTCTCTCTTCCCCTCCTTTTTTCTTTCTTTCTTTCCTTCCCTCCCTCCCTGCCTGGAAAACAGGTTCTTCCTTCCTTCCTTCCTTCCTTCCTTCCTTCCTTCCTTCCTTCCTTCCTTCCTTCCTTCCTTTCTTTCTTTTTTCTTTCTTTCTTTCCTTCTTTCTTTCTTTCTTTCTTTCTTTCTTTCTTTCTCTCTCCCTCCCTTTTTTCTCTTCCCTTCCCTTCCCTTTCCTTCTCTCTCCTCCCTCCCTCCCTCCCTCCAGAGTCACTTTTTATCTTGAAGTATGTAACTTTTATGTAACTTTTTAAGGAGTTTCATTGTGTTGCAAAGCAGAGCTACAGATCATCCCACACTTTCATTTTTATAGAACAATTGGTCTACATCTTTATTTGAAACAAAAAGGACAACTGGGTGTTAAAGAGGGGCGTCTGTGAGCTCTCCTTCTAGTACAGCCAGTCCTTGACTTACAGCAAGTCATTCAGAGACTGTTCGAAGTTACAAAAAATGACTTATGACCATTTCTCACACTTATGACTATTGCAGCATCCCCATGGTCATGTGATCAAAATTTAGACACTTGGCAATTGACTCATATTTACGACGGTCACAGTGTCCCAGAGTCACTTGATCCCATTTTGCAACTTTCTGACAAGCAAAGTCGGGGGGGGGGGGGGGAAGCCAGATTCATTTAACAACTGTGTTACTCTTATCAACTACAGTGATTCACTTAACAACTATGGCAAGAAAGGTGATAAAATGGGGCAAAACTCACTTAACAACTGTCTTGCTTAACAACAGAAATTTTGGGGTCAGCTGTGGTCATATGTCAAGAACGACCTATAATCAGCCCTGAGCAGGGCGACCAGGGCTAGGGAAATCTTTGTACAGCAAGAGACTTAACATAAAGTTAGAGTTAAGTAATAGGTCTTCTTTTTTATAATCTTATTGAACTTTTTAATAAACACTGTAAAACTTGCAAACCAAATAGAAGGAAAAAAAAACTTCAGAAAGTGCAGGAAAAAAGTACAAAGAAATAAGGAAGTGGCTTCCATTTTTCATCACACCAATCATAACCTAAGGGTAGTCCTCAGGTTATGACAGTAATGGAGCCTGTCCATCACGATCATAACTTTTGACAGTCATAAAATGGGTCAGCCATGCGACTGACCAGATTTTACAGTCATTTTTGTGGCAGTCGTGAAGTGAATCACCGTGGTCATTAAGCAAATCTCTGGTCTTTTAAGTGAATGCTGAAATCCTTAACTGAACCAACCGAAAGTAAAGATAAGATAAGATGATAAGATAAGATAGCTTTTATTGTCATTTTTATACTGTGGGCACAATGGCATACATCAAAAATGAAATTTAGTTGCCCGCTCTCAAAGTGAAACACATATATGACACACACCTAAACATACTATGAACAACATATGTACAAACCCACATCCCTACATATATGTAGCAAATAAATATTAAATACTGTCCATCTTGAATATATAATGGAAGGAGGAATCTTGAGAGTTCACAAGGTTAATGCTATATGGCAGTGGTGGCGAATCTATGGCACGGGTGCCAGAGGCGGCACTCAGAGCCCTCTCTGTGGGCACGCACGCCGTCACCCCAGTCCTAGGCCTTCAGCTGGGTTTTATAAAACCTTTCTGCTTTAGGCCTCTGCCACCATGTGCAAAAAAAAAAAAAAGGTTCAATCAGTCAATTTCAACTTCTCGCGGGAAAAAAAAATCTTGCAAAGTTGGAATTGATTGATTGAACTTTTTAGTCCCACCCAGTCTGCTGTTACCACTGTAGCCATGCCCACCCAATTGGCCACGCTCACCCAATTGGCCACACCCAGCCAATGGACCACACCCACCCGGCACTCGACGATGCATAAGTGGATTTTGGGTTGCAGTTTGGGCACTCGGTCGCTAAAAGGTTCGCCTGCTGTATGGGATGAAACTATGGCTGAATCTGGATGTTCTGCTTCGGATACCACGAAGTCTCCTCCCAGAAGGTAACAAGGAAAACAGGTCGTGAAGAGGATGTATGGTGTCCCAGATAATCTTACGGACCCTGCTCAAGCAGCGCTTCTGTGCTATGTCCTGATGGAAGGGAGGGAACGGCCAATGATCTTTTCTGCCATCCTCACCACTCTCTGCATTGCCTTCCTGTCTGAAGCAGTGATGCTTAAAACCAGACTGTGATGCTATAATGACAGGATACTCTCGACCGTCCCCCTGTAGAAAATGGTCAGGACAGGGGAAGGAAGATGTGCTTTTCTCATGCGAAGCAGAAAATGCAGGCGCTGCTGTGCCCGCTTCACCAGTTTCTCACTGTTGAGCGACCAAGTCAGCCTACTCACGCCCAGGAATTTGATGCTGGTAACCATCTCCACAGGTGAATCATTTATGCACAGAGAAGTGTGGCTGATTTTCAGCAAAATTGTCGTAAGGTGAGGGTCGCATGACTGCGTGACACTGCAGAGGGTTGTAAATGCAACCTGGTTGTTGAGTGGCTTAAGTGCAGTCGTGTGAGCATGAGAGGAAGGAAGTTCAAATTTGGATCATAAGTAACCCCTCATCAGAACTCAGAATGGTCACATAAATCAAAACAATAAATCAAACATTCTCAACATTGGTCAACCAATCTATTCAAACCCTGATCCTAACTTAACCCCTAAACCAGGGGTAGGCAACCTTGGCTCTTTTATGACTCGTGGACTTCAACTCCCAGAATTCCTGAGCCAGCCATGCTGAGGGGAAAGGGAGAGTTTTCAAGCTGAGCCAGGCTGGCTCAGGAATTCTGGGAGTTGAAGTCCACGAGTCATACAAGAGCCAAGGTTACCTACCCCTGCCCTAACTCCAACCCCACCCCTAACCCCAACCTAACCCCTAACCCTATCCCCCAACCCCACCTCTAACCCTTAAACCTAACCACAACTCTTAACATTAACCACAACACTAACCACAACACTAACACCATAACAGTAACAACACTAACAAGAACACTAACACCACCACCAACACTAACAACCAACAGCAACACTAACAACCCGAAAAAACCCGATCCTTAATCCCCAACCCCCTAAACCAGTGGTTCTCAACCTGTGGGTCGGGACCCCATTTGGGGTCGAACGACCATTTCACGGGGATCGCCAAACAAGGCTGTCCGCCATTTTTTTCCCCTTTTCTTTGGCCACGCCCCTGGCATCTGGTGATGTATAAGTGGTTGGGGTCACCACAACATGGGGAACTGTATTATGGGGTCGTGGCATTAGAAAGGTTGAGAACCACTGCCCTAAACCCACCCAAACACCCAACCCCAACACAGGTCAACAATTGTCAACAATACTCAACAATAACCAACAACTATGCAGGGTGATCAACAATGGTCAACATAAATCAAACATTCTCAACATTGGTCAACCGATGTCCAACCCCCTCCTCACACAGGAGACCCTAGCCTAGACCATTCCAGACAAATGGCTGTCCAGTATCTTCTTAAAAACCTCCAGTGATAAAGCATCCACAACTTCTGATAGCAAGTCACTGATTAATTGTTCTCCCTGTCAGGAACTTTCTCCTTAATTCGAGGTTGCTTCTCTCTTTGATTACTTCTCTCCATTCATTTTTCTTATCTTGCCTTCTGCTGCTTTGGAGACTAGGTTAATCCCCTCTTCTTGGTGGCAGCTGCTCAAATACTAGATGGCTGCTATCATGTCACCCTAGTCCTTTTTTCATTAAACTAGACGTACCCAATTCCTGCAATTGTTCTTTATATGTTTTAGCCACCAATCCTATAGTCTTATTTGCTGTTCTTCTCTGCACTCTTTATAGAGTCTCAAATTCTTTTTTGTATCGTGGCGACCAAAACTGGATTCAATATGCCGAGTGTAGCCTTACCAAGGCATTGTAAAGCGGTATTAACACTTCACGTGATCTTGATTCTATCCCTCTGTTAATGCAGCCTAGAATTGTGTTGGCCTTTTTGGTTACCCCTCTTCTCTTTTAACAAATAAAGTTAGTCCTCGACCTTGCCACAGTTGTTAAGTGAATCACATGGTTG